CATCATCATCATCATCATCATCATCATCATCATCATCATCATCATCATCATCATCCTCATCCTTCATCATCATCATAATCATCATCATCACCATCACCATCATCATCATCATCATCATCCTCATCTCATCGTCATCATCATCATCATCATCATCATCTCAAATAATCATCATCATCCATCATCATCACATTCATCATCATCATCATCATCGTCATATCATCACATCATCATCATCATCATCATCATAATCTCATCCCATCATAATCATTCAATCATCATATCTCATCATCATCATCATCATCACCATCATCATCATCATCATCATCATAATCATCATCATCATCATCAGCATCATCATCATCATCATCATCATCATCATCATCATCTTCATCAGCATCATCATCATCATCATCATCACCATCATCATCATCACCATCATCATCATCATCATCATCATCAGCATCATCATCATCATCACCATCATCATCATCAGCAGCAGCATCATCATCAGCAGCAGCAGCATCATTATCATGTTCCTGGGCAAGATATAGAGCGCCACGGTCTTCGCAATTCCCTACAAAAACAGGATCAATTCTGATTGGGGCGGACCTCGACACCTCTGAGGATACGCGAAACGCACGACGAAATGTACCTGTATTCGCCATGGTCGAGCCGGCTTCAGGTATTCTTGGCCCACGTGGGTAGGTTTCCCGCGCGCGGAGAAGAGAGCAGGGCAAGTCGAGCAGACGAAAGCACGAGATTGACTCACTTCTGGAGTCTGAAAAGGACGAGGGCAGGGGGACCCTGGAGGCCGCAATTGCCCTTTAGACCAAATCCGCGGGCACGGGGTCTTTCACCAAAACAAGCTGGGGCTTGGGCGGCTTACTCCGCAGAGGGGAGGGAGGGTGGGAGGGATCAGGAAGCACGTCCCCTACACGCGCCACCCACTGCACCCAGGACTTCAGGACTCTCACGCGGGCCTGCAGCGCAGAGATGCGAGGCGGTGGGAGTCGGAAGGCCTGCGCTGCCCAATGGGCGTGGGCGTCGGCGATGTCGCTGCCGACTTTGACTCTGATAACCACTCGGCCAGCATCAACATCTGCGTGGGTCGTATGGGCAGGCACTTTGACAAACGAATTCGACGGCGAAGACACCCCGCCGAACCCCCAATCATCAAGCCTGTCCCAGACCTGTCGCCAAAAAAGAAACGCATGCTGAACAGTCGAGTACATTCAAGCTTGCCGCGCGCAGCGACACCGTCGAAAACATACTTCGAGTCTGCTTGCACAACAATGGGCGGGCATGCGTGCCTGAGGCAATGCAACACCGCCTGCAGCTCAGTTTCATTGATGGACGGAAACGCAGAAAAAATGGCCGAACAAGACAACGGCCTTATCACAACATATGCTGCGCCCATCTGCCAGAGACCGACCACCCCGCGGCGGCCCAGGGCCCGAAATCACCCTCGAAGCACGAGCCACCTAAGAAAAACACCCCCGGAGAGCAGGCCTGGATGCCCATGGGCCCACAGGGATTGTGTGAGGTCGGGGTGACATGGGCGCTCAAAAAACGGCATCGGCACAAGACATCTCTCGGCTAGCAGCTGCGGGGGCCCACCTTGCGTTGTACCGCCAGCGAGGGGTGCGCACGACAGATGCGGAGACACGAACGTGAGCGCGTGCTGCCCGCGCACGCAGTGTCGGTGCACAGGCGCGCCGAGCGCGTGCGTGCCGACAGCCAAACACGCATGGCAGCACGGCTCCACGGGGTAGCCAGCTTGCCATCGGCCATGGGCCACTGCGCACCAATGACACACATGATCTGACATAGCCCTTCTTGTGTGGCAGCGCTCCTGAGCACAGAAAAAGAGAGGGCAGGGACAGGGAACACACCGTTGGGAAACTCAGGTGTTTCAATATGTTCCGGTATCTGCATGCACTGCCACAGGTGTACCGCGCGCAGCACGAGCTGCCTTACAACCGAGGGGCAGGTCTCAGACATGTCCAGAACACAATCCTCAGAAAATCCAAATTCCTCCAGATATTTGGCCCTCACACCCACTCTCCACAAAGACGCCCCAAGAATGGTGAAGGGTCCTACGATAAAGTTCCACGGGCACATGAGGGGCCTGAGGTGGGCATCCACTTGCAGGAGGCTCTTCTGGATGACATGTTTGGACAACCACTTCTCGTGAACGCACACGAGAAAAAACTTGACGGGTCACCACGTGGCTCTGGTGATGGGGCCCAGGCCATTGCTGGGGGCAGCCATCAGGGACAACGTGAGGCTCCTACCTGACTGCTCGTAGTCCTGCAACTTGCCTGCAAGGCTCCTCGAAGCCTCGAGACTTCTCTCATTGACACCCGCCGCCGCTGTGCCGCACGAGGTGGTTCTTTCAAGCGCGGCCCGACTCATCTGCCCAAGTAGTCCCCTACGCGCACGTCCTGACTTCAAAGCAAACACGCGGCCTCGACACTTTTTTTTGACAGCCATGTATCTGGCCTTGGCGGCGCGCCTGGGCTGGACTCTTCCAACGGCAAAGTCGACTCCGAGATTGCGCTCCGTCGCCGCAGCAAGAACGCCAATCTTCCGAAGCCCACGAGCGATGCGAGTGCGAAGCGCTTTGGAATTGCTAAGGACTTTTGTTCTTGCCCACCGTGAGCCGCATGTCCACTCTTGCCAGCTCACTAGCCAAAAGCGGGGCAGCTTCACAGAGCACGTCTCCTCGTCGCCACCGAAACGCTGGAGGCCAAAATCGTAAACGTTGACAGACAATACCACCGAGCGGTGCGCAGCTTGCTTGCACTTTGTCCAGGGGCCCTAGGAGCAGCAACTGCAACATAAGCGTAGCAAGCGTACACCCAAGGACCACCGTCTGTTTCACGTGGATCAACTCGCTGCACATCCCTTTGGAGGTCCAGAAAACGAGGAGCTCGGTAAACATCGATCAATAACCTAAGCTGCCACGAAGGATAACATGAGACGATAGCAACCTGCAGCAGATGATGGTGTTGAACGAACTCAATCGCATTATGATCATCGAACAGTATCGCACCCGAATACTGTCCCTGGTCAGCACAAAACTCCGACCAGGCACTAGATATCCAAACGCATTTCTCGGACGACCGCCCCTTGGTGGCCCAGAAGAAATGCCAAAAGCTGCCAGTCTGCAACCATCGGTCGCCGTAGGCGACACTGCACTCGACATAGAGCGTGGAGCAGGCCAAGGGGTCAGAGACCTCCTGGGCTCTTCATAATAAGTGCGATGCGGCTGCACCGGCCACTCGAGCCTCTGCTCGATGTGCGAGACGACATCACATAGCAGCTGGATCGCGTGATCTGGAAGGAAGAGGAAATTCCTGGCACTCACCTGATCAAAATCAACGCCTGCCTTCATGGGGAACGCACGAAGGACAGCTTTGAGTTTAGAAACCGACGGGCAGGCTCCCCCTCCTCTTCCGCCTCTTCCTCCTCCTCCTCCCTCCTCCTCCTCCTCCTCCCCCCTCCTCCTCCGTATCCTCCTCCTCCTCCTCCTCTTCCTCCTCCTCCTCCTCCTCCTCCTCCTTCCTCCTCCTCTTCCTCCTCCTCCTCCTCCTCCTCCTCCTCCTCCTCCTCCTCCTTCTCCTCCTCCTCTCCTCTTCCTCCTCCTCCTCCTCGTTGTCCTCCTCCTCCTCCTCCCCCTCCTCCTCCTCCTCCTCCTCCTCCTCCTCCTCCTGCTCCTCCTCCTCCTTTTTCCTCCTCCCTCCTCCTCCTCTCACTCCTCCTCTTCCTCTTCCTCCTCCTCCTCCTCCTCCTCCTCCTCTCCTCCTCCTCCTCCTCCTCCTCCTCCTCTCCTCCTCCCCTCCTCCTCCTCCTCCTCCTCCTCCTCCCTCCTCCTCCTCCTCTCCTCCCCCTCCTCCTCCTCCTCCTCCTCCTCCTCCTCCTCCTCCTCCTCCTCCTCCTCCTCCTCCCCCTCCCCCTCCCCCTCCCCCTCCCCCTTCCCCTCCTCCTCCCCCTCCTCCTCCTCCCCTCCTATGCCTCCTCCTCCTCCTCCTCCTCCCCCCCCCTCCTCCTCCTCCTCCTCCTCCTCCTCCTCCTCGCTCGCTACCTAAGGGCCAAAGGGGTTCGAAGCCCTTGCTTAAAGGGAAAAGAGGAAGGCGAAGACAGCACCCCCTAACGTGCACACGCAGGAGAGGGGGGAGCGGGGTGAAACAAAGAGCTCAAGTGTCGCCCCCCACAATCCTGGACGAAGCCTGGGCCAGGACACTGGAGGCCAAACCGTACGCCGAACATGGGAGCCTGTCTGGGTCAATCCTGCGCGCAACCGAGTGCCCGCACCTGTTGGGACACCCCCCCCCCTGCACATCCCAGGCTGGAACGAGTCCAAGGACACCCCAGGAGAGGCGACGACGAGGGTGGGGAACAAATAGGGGGAGCCAAAGGTGCACAAATCAACATCGCAATGCTGGATCCCAGGGGCCTTAGTCAGACCACGCACCTCTGGCAGCTCAAGGACGGACGGATCAGAGAAGTCACGATAGATGGGCAGGAAAAGGAGGAAAGGTAGGCTGCAATGCAAACAATCAAAGGCAAGTTGCACCGAAGCCTGCACCTGGCTGTTCTGAGCCATGACCAACTCAGCATCCTTTTGCTGTACTCCCCGAGCACACCACGGAGCCGAGCGCGTGCGAACCTGCCTTGCTTGCCTGGCTTCCCTCAGTGGTCTCCAAGAGCTGGCCTCGGGCTCGAGGAGAGCAGCAGCAACTTCGCCAGCAAAAATCCTCCTCCCCACCTCCTCCAGATCCTCCAGGGTCGAGGGGGTACAAGCAAAGGAGCAGGACAGAGGGCGAGAGGAGGCAGAAGGGAGGGCCGCCCCCTTGACGGCACGCTCAATACTCCCCTGGACCGTGCCAGGGTGCCCCCAATAGCATAGCTGAGCATTGCGCCGCACGAGCACGGGCCGAGGCAACCAGGTCCCAACATCAGGCATAGCCTCAGCAAGGAGGGGGACTCGCGGAAGCTCAACGGGCGGAGCGGGCCTGGCTCGAACCAGGGGTCGAAAGGGGGGGCCCGAAACACGCTGGGCAGGGACGTCGGCAGAGGTGCCCCCTTTCCCTCTGCGGCGGTTAGCACCTGCAGCGGCCTTCCGATTCGCGATAGCCTGATCGAGCTCAGTCTGCGTGGGTCGGAGCGGTGAAGCAATCCAAGTGGAGAAACACGATTGCGCTCTATGCAAGTGCTTCACCAGCCTGTTTTCATCCCAGAACTGCCAGCAACAGAAGGGACACATAGTGCCCGTCGCAACCATCTCGGGAGTCTCAGGGGGACGGTGCAATTTCTTGTGATGGATCCTAAGCAATCTGGCGCTGCGCGCCACGTGCCCACACTCATAGCAGACAAACCCCAAGAACGGGGGCGGCGGAGCAAGCGCAGCCTCAACAGCCTCACCACTTGACGGCTCAGCAGGACTGCCCGACGGTGCACGCACAAAGGCGAGAGCGTTAGAGTCCCCTGCCGGAGGGCTGTTGGCCGCATCGAGTGCGCCAACACGGTCCTGTGAACCTGCCAAGTGGGGCAAGCCACTGATGTCGCTGGACTGCGAATATATCAGCACGTCGTCGTTGCTACGCCGTAGCCGCAACTCTCGCTGTATGATCTCCGCAAGGCCTATCTTGGTGAGCGGCTGCATCAGTTTGCGTCTCCAGGTGGCTACGGTTCCATTCACCTTCCAGATCCGCTTGGCTGCTGCAGCAGCCTGTGCGACCAAGGAGAGAAACTCTACTTTCGAATCTCGAGCTAACCGTATAAGCGATGTGTCGTCAAATCCATATGCATCTTCACCAGCGTTGTGAAATCTCCTCATCCACTTTAAATCGCACCTCAACCGAGCACACCAGCCGATGTCCCATATGAAGTCGAGCATATGGCGTAACAGCGGCGAGGATCCATGTAGAATTCTGGGCAGGAACCGCAGTCGCGCAATTGATAAAACTTGTTGCAGCGGCAGCCGATCTACTTTAATGAGTGCGTCAGTCATGGCAGCATGTATTTCACTTGAGTTCGTGATCCCCAAATTGAGTGCCGTCCGATAAATACTAAGATAGCCAGTACAAGCTTTGGCCTCCAGATACTTGGGCATGTCTTCCCACGCACAAGCTGCAAAGACGAATTTTGAACCAGCATATGCCTCTGAGTACCTGACCTTATGTGCGAGATCCAAGGCATTACAGGATGCAACAACTCGCTTGATGGGTCTGAGTGCTGCGCGCGCAGACCTCACTCTTTCAGTGATCTCATCCGCCATGGTGGCCTTGTCGTCGACCCTGGCTCCAAGAACTTTGTGCGACCTTACCACTGGCAGCTGAAAACCAAATTCTGAGCTAACAAGCGCAGCGCCATCTTTCTTGTGATATGTCTGAGCCATGCAACGAGAATGCTGCCCGCGAAATGTCATGAGTGCCGCAGTTTTGGTCCAATTGATCTTGAACCCATGGCTCGACGCATGGATGTGTACGACTTCAGCTGTCCGAAGCACTTGCGCTGGTAGCGCCGTGGCCTGGCATGCCGTGAGCGCAGTCAGATCACCGACAAAAGATGCACAAGCGTGCGTGTTCAATCTATCTTCATTTGAGCAGAAAATGACTACTGACTCAGGGGGCCCCCAAAACTAGGTGCTCATCCTGCAGCTGGGTTTCAATCTTAGTCTGCAGCCTAGCGAAGAGGGTGTTGAAAACGTCGGTAGCTGGGACCGTGCCCGGCCTGCAGCCCCTGCCCGAGAGCGCGAAGCACGATGACCCTCGCACTCTCCAGAGACTCCCCGTCTGGCTTTCCCTCACGAGCTGGAGCAAGTGTGGCGACATGCCAACGTCATCCAGAGGGGCCCGAGACGCAAGTTCGGCCTCTAACCCAGGCGTCAGGAAGGGGGTCATTTCAAGATCCAGGAGCGCATCTTCAAGCCTGTGGGCCTCGGAGGGCAGGGAAAGGCACCGCTGCTTGAGGGCCGAGTAGAAAGCAGCGTGAAGGTCAACGAAAACTCCCCCAGCGGACAAGGAGACCACACCCGTCGCGGCCCAAAACTGCCGCATCATAAGGATGGCCCCCTCTAAGCCGCGGCCTGGTAATCCTCCACACTGAGTCGCAAGTAAAGCCTTGTAAACAAAGCTTAGCGACCGTTGTCTCAGTAACTTGTGATGGAGTTTGCCGATAGTGCTGCCCAAGAGGACGTCCCTTTGGTTCGGCATGACATTCGCAGCACCCTTCCCTTTATGGAAAAAGACCACTTCACCAGACTTAAAACCCAAGGGCTCGCGCTGCTGGAGGTTTGTTTTGAGCAGCAAGGGGTACACCAGTCGACCGATATCCCCCTGCGCAACTCTTCCAAAGTCCCCCACAATGCCATCGAGACCAGCGGCCTTGCCAGCTGGTGCTTTCCGAAGGGCCCCCTGGGCGTCGAGCAACAAGGGGAGGGTTTCCAGGGGTGGGGCAGGGAGGTCAACCTGGTCCAGGCTGCACTTGTTGTATTCATGGACAGGCTCACTGTCACCGACCATTCTTGCCAGCTCAATCTGGCCAAAGTACCTCTGAGCGATATCAGCAATCTGATCATGGGTAGTGGCTGGGACCCCTTCTTCATCTAACATGGAGGGGAAGGCCAACGACTTTTTGCGGGGCTTTCCCCCGAAACGCAGGGCCTTGTCTAAGGAGGCCCATTCGCTCGCTGGAATGCGCCCATCTATCGCGATGGTTACATCCTTGATCTGGTCAAGTAGGAACTGAGCACGATCTTCGTGCATGCCGTCGATGAGCCGCGCCTGCGTCGCCAAAAGGAATCCATTGAGAGCGAGCTGAAAGATGCCCATATGGGCTCGACCTGCCAAGAACTCCTTGGTCCACTTCAGCACAACCTCACGCTCAGGCCCCCACCGAGGAAAGTCGCCCAGGATATGCACCGACAAGTCCCCAGTGCTGAACCTAGCCGCAACGTGTCTTAAGACTCTGCCTCTGTACTCATGACTTCCAAGGGCCTGCTTGACCATGGCTTTCTGAGCCGCCCGACGCATGGCAACGAGGGAGAGCGTGGAGAGCGACAGGTAGCAGGCTCGCGGCCTGCGCTTATCCAACGGAAAGGCATCGGCAGCAGCATGATGCAAGCTTTCCACGACCTGGGTAAGATGCTGATTAACGCCAGCTTGCCAGCGTCCTCCTCCTCCTCCTCGCCTCCTCCTCCCCTCCTCCTCCTCCTCCTCCTCCTCCTCCCCCTCCCCCTCCCCCTCCTCCCTCCTCTCCTCCCCTCCTCCCTCCCTCCCTCCTCCCTCCTCCTCCCTCCTCCTCTCCTCCCTCCTCCCTCCTCCCTCCTCCCTCCTCCCTCCTCCCTCCTCCCTCCTCCTCCTCCTCCTCCTTCCTCCTCCTCCCTCCTCCCTCCTCCCTCCTCCCTCCTCCCACCCCCCTCCTCCTCCTCCCTCCTCCCCTCCCTCCCTCCTCCCTCCTCCCCCTCCTCCTCCCTCCTCCCTCCTCCCCCTCCTCCTTCTCTTGCTCCTTTTCCTCCTCCTGCCCAGCCTACATGGCTCACCAGACGGCACCGCAACGCCGTGCAAGCACCAGGAGGCCACATCGGATGAAATGAACACTCGGAGGAGGCCTCCCTCTTCCTCTTCCTCCTCCTCCTCTTTTCGTCATCCTCCACATCCTCCTCCACATCCTCCTCCACATCCTCCTCATCCTCTTCCTCTTCCTCCTCCACATCCTCCTCCTCCTCCTCCTCCTCCTCCTCCTCCTCCTCCTCCTCCTCCTCCTCCTCCTCCTCCTCCTCCTCCTCCTCCTCCTCCTCCTCCTCCTCCCCCTCCTTCGCCACCTCCTCCCTCCTCCGCGCGGAAAAAATCCAACAACACCTCGCGCAAATCAACAACTGTGGCCCTCCGGGCCCTTTTGCGTGTCCGTTTAGGGCCCTTTAGGGGCCGTCCTTGGGCCCTCTCGGGCGTCCTGGGAACCCGGAAATCATGTTCCCGGAGAGGCTTCCGGGAGCATGATTTCGAACGAGGCCCTCTTGGGCCTCCCTGAAGCCGTCTTGGGGGCCTCCTGGGCCGGCTTCGGGGCCTCTTGGGCCGTCTTGGGGGTTCCGTGAGCCCCACAGGACGACCCTTTTGGGCCGTCTTGGGCCCTCTTGGGTCTCTCTTGGGCTGTCTTGGGGCTCTTCGGGGGCGTCTAGGGCACTGCGAGGACGAAGCAAACGAGTATACTGAAATTGCACGTTTTACACATGGAATGGGCCGATGTTTGCCTCTTGAAGGCCCTCTCCTCTTCGGCCTTCTTCAAACCATCTCGGATCCTCTTGGGGTGCTCTCGGGCGTCTTGGGGCCCTCTTGGGCCTCGCTGAGGCTGTTTTGTGGGCCTCTTGGCTGTCTTTGGGGCCTCACGGGCCATTTTGGGCGGGTTTGTGGACGCCACAGGACGCCTGGAGGGGCCACGGGCGGGTTCGTGGACCCCACAGGACGCCGGGGGCGGCCATGCCAACTGCTGGCACCACCCCACCACCGCCCCTGGGCCTACTCCGATATATATATATATATATATATATATATATATATATATATATATATATCCATATAATCCTTCATGGTTTCGCGGGAGCTATCCCCACCTGGCGCGGTGGGCTGGTGGGGCTGAGATGCCATGGCTCCATGGAAATGGGGAGTGGTTAGGCGTTGTTGCGGAGGAGGATCCTTCTTGTCCCAGTCGTAGCCACCTTTTCCTTTGGCGTTCTTGCCCACGGTGGCGGCGTCCCGATTCTCCAGGCGAGTTTTCGGCTCGGGGCCGCGCTGACCAGGGTTCCTCCAGGGGGCGGGGGGATGAGAGCGGAGGGGTGGCGAGGGGAGGGGGGGCAAGCTATGGATGCGCGAGGAGAGAGGAAAGGGGAGGCGAGGTGTGGCGAGGGGGAAGCTAGATGCGGGAGGTATGGAGAGAGGGGGGCACAAGGGACAGCGAGGGGCGAGGGACAAGGCAAGCTAGATGCGCGAGGGGTGGCAAGAGGAGGGGAGTGGAGAGGGGAGACGGAGGGGGGGGCAAGCTAGATGCGCTCACGCCATATCTGCCATCCCTTGCCACTGCGATGAGTTATCTATCCACCGATGGGCCATCCTAGCGAACCATAACCCCTAAAATTTGGTCCATGTCGCCCCAGAGCGGAACAAGCGTGAAAGCACGTGGGTGCCTTTCGCCCCAGAGCGCAGCAAGCGCGAAATTACATGAGTCCATGTCGCCCCAGAGCGGAGCAAGCGCGAAAACACGTGGGTGCCTTCATTAAGCGTGTAAACAAATGGGTCCCATCCAGGAAGCCCCAAGGGGCCTCCCAAAAAGCCCCCAGACGGAACGTGCCAAATGATTACGCATCTAATTCCGAATCGTTGAGTTTGCTCTGCCTTCTCTGCCTTTGTGCCCTCCCTCCCATTCTGGAGAGGGGTACCACCCCTGGGTGGCCAGGACGCGTGAAAATACGTGGGTCCATTTCGCCCCAGAGCGGAACAAGCGTGAAAACACGTCGGTGCTCGCCACAGAGCGAAGCAAGCGTGAGAACACGTGGGGGCCTTTCGCCCCAGAGCGGACAAAGCAATAAACACGTGGACCCCTTACGCCAGAGCGCAGCAAGCGTGAAAACATGTGGGCCCCGTTCGTCCCAAAGAAGAGCAAGCGTAAGGAGGTGTTCTCTCTTGCTCTGCACTGGGGCGAATGGGACCCACGTGATTTCACGCCTGCCGCGCCATGAGGCGAAAGGGACCCACGTGTTTTCACGCTCGTTCCGCCCTAAAGCGAAAAAGACTGGGAACGAGCGCGTCGCTCGAGACATCCTCGAACTTCTTGGGCGCAGGACGCGCCATCCTCTAGCGGGGACGCAACAAGTAAATATGTCTATACTTTGGAAAAAGATTATCATCTCCAGACGACGTTATTTAGCACGGATTCTGCGCAAGACGTTCCGGACCCCACTGTTGCACAAGGGAAACCGAAGGTCAGCGGGCCTCGTCATTAATCACGGATCCGACATGGGGCGTCCACTTTCCTCGGGCGGGCACGCGCGAAACGCATTTGTTCCATGCCGAAGGGGACTTTACGGAAAAATTCGATCGAACGGACATTCGCGGGTCTCCCCCCAACATGGCACCCAAAGACAAGTTTACCAACTAGGCGAAAACCCTGGGCAAGTGCCCTTTCCGGGAATAATCAGCCCACGAACCCGGAAAGGGATTTAGAACTGCGAGGCATGCAAACGTGTCAAAGGACATCAATTGGGCGACGGGCAGTGGCCAGGCTGAAGATATCGATGGTGATGACAGTGTGCCAGGGGCTGTGTTGTGCTGCGTTGCGCTGTCCGTGCCGCACAGTGGCGTGCCAGGCAACGCGTCAAGAGACATGCCACGGGACGCGGCAAGGGACATGCCAGGGGGACGCGCCGCGGAACGTCCCAAGGGACGCGCCAGGGGACATGCCAGGGGACGTGCCATGGGGACGCGCCTCGGGACGTGCCAAGAGTGCGCGCTACGGAACGTGCCAGTGGACTTGCCAGGGGGACGCGCCAAGGGACGCGCCACGAACGGCGCCAAGGAACGTGCTAGGCGACGCGCCGGGTGACGTGCCAGGGGACGCGTCAGGGACTGTGCCACGGGACGTGGCACGGGACGCGCCAGACGCGCCAATGGACGCGCAGCGGATCACCTGCAGCCGCTGGATTCGCGCTCCCAAAGCAAATGTGCATCATAAATTACGCTCGGCCCCTGGTAAATTACACAGGTGTACCGAAGGTATGCCGAAGTTAGTCTGAAGGTACGTCGGACACACTCGTGGAAGGTACGCTGAAGGTACGCGGTTTCTGCACTGCGTTTGATGAGAAACGTTGTTGAAGGTACTCCGAAGGTCCGATGAAGATACGCGCGTCAAAATCAGCGAAGGCACCCTGAATGCACGCAAAAGATAGACAGAAGCGGGGGGGCGAGACGATAGACCCCCCACTCCCCCCGCTCCCCCAGACCCTCGCTCCCCCAAACCCTGCAGACCCACAAAGGGGCCACACGCGACGGACCCAGAAACGAACGCATTACGGCGGGACCGCGATCTCTCATGCATCGCTCTGCACCCGCGCTCCCAGGGCCGCGATCGCTCGTAAATTGCCCAGGAGTCGCGCTCCCAGGGCCACGATCCCCCGTACATTACGCTGGGTTCGCGCTCCCAGCGCAACGATCCCTAGTAAATTACACTGGGTTCGAACGCTCAGGAGAACGATCCCTCGTGCATTACTCTGGGTGCACGCTCCCAGGGCCACGGCCCCGCATAAAGTACACTGCGTCCGCACCTCTAGGGTCGCGATCCCTCGTGACTTGCGCTGCCTCTGCGCTGCCAGGACCACGATCCCTAGTACATTATGCTGGGTTCGCGCTCCGAGTGCCACCCTGCCCAGCACATTACGCTGCGTTCGCGCTCCCAGGGTTACGATACCTCGTAAATTAAAACGCAGCCGCGCTCCTAGGGCCACGATCCCTCGTGAACTGCTCAGGACTTGCGCGCTTCACTCGTAAACGACACTGGGTTCGCCCCGTCAGGGCCACGATCCCTCGTGAATTGCGCTGCTCCCGCGCTCCCAAGGCCACGACCCCTTGCAAGCTATGCTGCGCCCGCGCTCCCAGAGTCACGGAGCACCGCGCGGAGGCTGCCCAAAAGGGCACCCCCCCCCCTCTCCAGAGCAGAAACCAATAGCTTTCTGTACTGGCATATGTGTTCGGGGGGCGCTTTCAGGCCTCACGCCCTCTCAAGGCCACGGTCCCTCGTAACTTATACAGAATTCGCGCTCCCACGGTCGCGATCCCTCGCAAATTGCACACGATTCGCGCATCCAGGGCCACGATCCCTCGTACATTACGCTGGATTCCCGCTCCGAGGGCCACAATCCCGCCGCGTAAATGGTACCGGGTTCGCGCTCTCAGGGCCACGATCCCTCGAAAAATACGCTGCGTCCGCGCTCCCAGGGCCAGGATCCCTCGTAAATGACACTGTGTTCGCGCCCCCAGGGCCAGGATCGCTTGTAAATTGGATTGCGTCCGCGCCTCCAAGGCCAGGATCCCTCGTCAATTACGCTGCGTCCGCACTCCCAGGGCCACGACCCTTCGCAAATTAAACAGCATCGGCACGATTTCCAGGAAATCACCATTCGACCGCACTCCAAGAACCACCTGAATATCCGCGGGCGCCCAGGCCTTTCAAGCGCTGCAAAGCAAGCGCTTCGCTCGAGATATCCTTAGATATTCGGCACGCAGTGCGCGCCATCCTCGAGCGAGCACGCAAAAAGCCAACATTCCTTCTGCAAAACAAGCGCGGGGCTCGAGACATCCTCGAAATTCGTGCGCGAAGGACGCGCCATCCTCGAGCGGGCACGCAAAAAGTCAACTGTTTCAGATTTGCTCTCAAATGTTAGAATCTCCGAAGCTCGCTATTCGTACGGATTCTGCGCAAAACGTTCCGCACCTCTTTTTTACAAAAATAAAGCTGGGGTCTGCGGATCGCGTTAGGCATCGAGGATCCGAAATGGGGGGGCACATTTTCCTCGAGCAGGCACGCGCGAAACGCATTTTCCACGCCGAAGGGGGACTGCACCTCGATTCTCATCGAACGGAAATTCGCAGGCTCTCGACAGCATGGCACCGGGGGGTGAAATTACCATCCTAGAAGAGAATCCTGGGCCCACGCCCCGTATGGGAACAAGACATCTCAAGAGAGCCAAGACACGGGCATTGAGGCATGCAGGACGGCCCAAGAGAACCCCGAAATCTGCCGACCCTGTCGGCGTGTGGAAGAAGCTCTTTCCTTCGTCGCTGTTTCATTCGTCGTTTCCTCGTCGTCGTCGTCGTCGTCGCCGTCCCCATTCCAAGCTTTCTCCCGGGGCTCCTTCTCCAACGCGCCAGCCGTTGCCTCTCTTACCCTAGGCCTTTCTCTTCAAACGCGCTAGCCAAAACGATAATAATGAATGTCGTAATTTATTCGACGGGAAGCCCTTTCCCTTGATCCTTTTCCCGCCAGGACGGGGGGGGGTCCCGTGGAGGGAGGGCCCGGGAGGGGTCCCGGGGAATGGCCTCGGGAGGGGGGTCCTGGGTCAGAATGCCCCCCCCCCGGGGAGTCCCAAAGCCCAAAACCCCCCAAGACGAACCAAGACTGCCCCAAGAGGCCCCCAAGACGGTCCAAGAGGGCCCCGAATCGCCGAACCAGTCCAAGACGCCAAAGTAGCCTCATGACGCCCCAAGAGGCCTCCAAGAGCACTCCCAAAAGGGTCCCAAGAGGCAACTTGATCGACCCACGAACCAAGGAAGGAATATAGAAATATAAGGCATGGCAACGTTTCAAGGACACCTGATTGGGCGACGGGCAAATGCAATGCTGAGTGTATCGATCTTGATGTACCGTGCCGAGGGCTGCGCTGTGCTGCGTCATGCTGAATTGCGACGTGCCATGCCGCAAGTGCGCTCTAAAGCGTTGTGGATCGAGTCAACCTTTGCATCTGCGACCTGATCGAACTGATCTGGATCTTAAGCTCGAGCTGCCTCAGCACATAATTAGTAGCTGCCCCAGAGCTAATTGACAGGGGGACATGCCACGAGGACGCGCCGCGGAACGTCCTAAGGGACGCGCCAGGCGACGTGCCAGGGGACGTGCCATGGGGACGCACCGCGGGACGTGCCAAGGGGACGCGCTACGGAACGTGCCAATGGACGTGCCACGGGACGTGCGAGGTGACGCGCCCGCGCGACGTACCAGGGGGACTCGCCACGGGACGCGCCACGGAATGTGCCAGGGAACGTGCCAAGTTGCAATGCTGAGTGTATCGATCTTGATGTACCGTACCGAGGGCTGTGTTGTGCCTGGGCGACCTGGACACGTGAAAACAAGCGTTTCGCTCAAGACATTCTCAACACATCCTCATGCTAGACATCCGCCTGAGCAATCTGGACACGTGCAAACAAGCGTCTCGATCGAGGCTTCCTCAACACATCCTCATGCTAGCATCCGCCTGGGCGACCTGCACGCGTGAAAACAAGCGTCTCGCTCGAGACGTCCTCAACTAATCCTCATGCTAGACATCTGCCTGGGCAACCTGGACGCGTGAAACCAAAGACATCCTCAAGACCTGGGCACGTGAAAACAAGCATTTCACTTGAGAGATCCTCTGAATGTTGGCCTCCAGGAGAGGACTTTATACTACAAAACAAGCGTTTCGCTCGAGACATCCTTAACAGTGTCTGCAAAACAAGCGTTTCGCTCGGGACGTTCTCAAATATTAATTCGCCGGCCCTGCTCGAACCCGCTATTTATGGCAGATTACATTCGCCAGCACAACGGCCATCGATTCCGGGGGTACACAACCAAAAGAGAGACCTTGGCCGACGCCCTTTCCGGGAAAAATGATTGATTTACCTAAGGTTTTGGATAGATTTGGGATTTGGCGATTCTCGCCTTTTCGGCTTCCCGACACTACAAGACGGCCCAAGAGGCCCCCAAGATCGCCCCAAAACAGCGCAAGAGGCCTCCGAGAAGGCCCCAAAACGACCCAAGAGGGCCCCGAGACGGCCCAAAAGGCATCCAAGACGACCCAAGAGGCCCCCAAGACAGCTCCAAGAGAGTGCCCAGACGGGGGACTCGAACGGACATTTCGAGCCCTCGGCCTGAGAGGCCCCCAGGAAGCGCCAAGAAGCCCCCAAGACGCCCCCAAGAAACCTCCAAGATGCGCCCAGGAAGCCCCAAGACCCCTGGGAGCCTCCTAACAGGCCCCCAAGAGGCTCCCAAGAGGCCCCACCATTACCCCCCAGAGGCACCCAGGAGCGCTCCGAAGAGACCCCAAGAAGCATCCCTGAGGACTATGACCCACGTAAGCATCTTCGTCGTCGTCGTTCAGGGTCGGCGGCACCGGCCGTAAGGCCTCTCCAATGACCTCAGTCCCACAGAGGGCCCCAAAAGGTCCCCAGGGTCCCAAACAAGGCTCTCAAGGGCTCCCCCGGGGCCTCCACGGAAGCCCCCAAAAAACTCTGCCACAGAACCAGTTTCAAAATGCTTGCGATGCGAAGTGCCATATGCTTCGGAGTTGTGCTCGGAAGGCTTGTCCAAGGCCTTCCTGTCGCGCACAGTCTGTCGAGGGTCTCGTATGGGGTCGGCGGAATGGCGTACGTAAACCTCTTGAGTAGACTTGGAGTGGCAGCACGGCAGAAGAGAGGGCCTTCCAACGCCAACGACGCCAAGGTATCGAGGAAAGCGCCCTGCGGGGCCGAAACCAGCTGCCTGCAGCAGTTCCCGCAACCCACCCTTTCCCAGTCCCCCCTTTTCGTCCGACCCCGAGGGAAGGAAGGAGAGGGAGGAGACGGGGGAGGGCGCGGATTCCTCTGCTGCCAGCTCTTGCCGCCGCCCTTGATGGCCTGGATCCTCTCCCTGGCTTCCCTCTCAGGCAGCTCCGGCCACTCGAGTTCGGTGAAGCCGTCCTCGAATTGCGCGTGGACGGAGCACGAGGAGAAATAGTGGAGGAGGAGGAGGCTGCGGGAGGGAGGGAGGGAGGTGTCCTCAAGCTCGGGGGCCACGAAGTTCGCCCTCATCTCGTTCACGGCCTGCACAGGCACGAACTTCCCCTCCTCGCGCTCGCGCTTGTCCGTCCGCTGCGCCAGTGTCTCCTCGGGCGGAGGGAAGGGAAGGAAACGGGGCAGGATGTGGAGGGAAGGGCTGGGAAAATGGAGAATGGACAAGGGGGACGGCAAGATGGGCGCACTCTTGTCAGACATGTGACATCGTACGCCTCCCTCCCATCCCTAATCCTTGCGTTGAGAACATTTTCGATCCACCGAGTCGGGTGTTCAAGAATACGTTGATCACCAAAAGGGAGTTGCAGACTCTGCCATATTTTTCCCCACATCCAAAGTGGGGTTCTTGTTTTCTGTGGACACCTCGCGCAGGAACCTCACCTCACCTCACCTCCCACCCTTCTCCCTTTTCACTCACCATCATCATTCTCATCAGCATCACCATTCATCGTCACTACTCATCATCATCATAACCAACGTCACCATCATCATAATCATCGCACTCATTCACACTTACACCAATATCATCCTCATCATCAACGGCATCATCATAATTCGATACATCATCATCATCATTATCACATTCATCATCACCACCATCATCATCATCAAACAACACCACCACTCATCATCATCTTCATCATATTCACCAGCATCATCACTCGATCACCCATTCACCCATCATCATCATCATCAGCATCATCAGCATCATCCTCATCATCCTCATCATCATCAACATGATCATCATCATCGTCACTCACTCACTCACTTACCCACCCACTCACTCACCCACCCACTTATTCACTCTAGCTTGAATATGGATGAAGTCTCAGGCGGGAGCTTCGTCTGTAAGTGAATTGTGGGGAAGTCTCAGGCAGGAGCCCCCTCCCTGTGGGTCCCGCACTTCACGCTGGTAACCCGAGCGGGTCATCCGAAACGTGTAACTGTCGTCACTTCTGGGCCCCTCAGGCCTGAATTTAGGGGAAGTCTCAAGCGGGAGCTTCGTCTGTGAGTGAACTGTGGGGAACTCTCAGGCGGGAGCCCCCTCCCTATGGGTCCCGCACTTCACGCTGGTAATCCGAGCGTGTCATCCGAAACGTGTAAATGTCGTCCTTTTTGGGCTCCTCAGGCCTGAATTTGGGGGAAGTATCAAGCGGGAGCCTCGTCTGTGAGTGAGTTGTGAGGAATTCTCAAGCGGGAGCCCCCGTCCTATGGGTCCCGCACTTCATATAAGTAATCCGAGCGCGTCATCCGAAACGTGTAACTGTCTTCACTTTTGGGCTCCTCAGGCTTGAATTTGGGGGAAGTATCAAGCGGGAGCCTCGTCTGCGAGTGAATTGTGAAGAAGTTTCAGGCGGGAGCCCGTTTCCTATGGGGCCCGCACTTCATGTTGGACTCTTTCCTATGAGTCACGCGCGTGGTGCAGAAGGTCGTCTTCCCAGTGGTGGAGTATTTGCGGCCCTCGAAGGCGCAGGACAAGGGCGCCATGATGGTCGTGGCCTTCTCGAACGCGCAGGCGAAGAACATCTCCACGGAGACTGTGAAGGCTAAAACGCTGCACAACGCTTGTGCCCTGCGAGTCCAGAAGTACATCAACGCGAAGATGAGGCCGGGGGGGCATGCAGAAGAGGCTGAAGTGGTTGTGGGAGCACGTCCGCGTTCTGGTCATCGAGGAGGTGAGCATGGTGGCGGCAGCTCTGTACAACGCGCTGGACCTTCGCGCCTGCCATGGACGCAGCGACACGCACGACGCGCAAGAGTCCACCTACAAGCGGCCGCACCACCACTTCGGGCGCGCCTCCATCGTGATGTTCCTCGGCGATTTCCTGCAGCTAAAGCCCACCGACAGCATCGGCCTCCTGACGGACGTGGACGAGCGCCTGGAGGACGGGCGCACGTACAAGTACGCGGAGCCGCCCACGGTGGAGATTCAGCCCGTCATCTCTCATATCCCCTGCGTCTTCGAGCTGAAGGGCACGAAGCGCTTCGAGCCCGGGGACCCTCTGATCACGCTCCTGGGCTGCACGCGCGAGGGCAAGCCCTTCCCACCGGGGGTCTGGTCCGCCTGGGAGATGACGTTGGCGTCGGACAACCGCGGCCTCCTGGACCCTCGGCACCAGCACGAGAACTTTCGGCTCGGCTACGGCATGGGCGTCTACTGGGAGACGCTGGCGAGGTGGATCAACGCCCGCGCTCGTCGCGACGCGCGGCGCCTGGGCGTACCCCTCGTTTTCTTGCAGGCCGTAGACGAGTGCAGCACGATTCAGGGCGATCCCGACGCGGGTCGGCGCCTCCTGAACGTCCCTAACATGCACAACACGGGGGACATCCACGGCGTCTTGAAGGCCCACGTCGGCATGGAGGTGCGATTCACGGCAGCGCAGGAAGAGCTGAAGAAGAAGTTGGGGCTCTTGCAGGAGCAACGGGCCGCCATCGTGTCCTCCGAGTTCCACCGCGAGGACGAGCGGGACTACGAGGAGTGCGCGCTGGGCCAGCTTTTTCGCCCCCGCTACCTACCGAGGGAATCTGGCTGCAGGTCCACGGCTTCAAAGAGTCCCCGATCTACATGGAGGTCGCCGAGCTCCTGCTGCCGGGCGCCGAAGGCGCCGTTGAACGCCGCGAGGCCGAGGCGCGGGCTCGGAGCTTGCTGATGTTCAGGCCCAGCGAGCAGGAGCTCACGCGGCTGAGATCGGGGCCGCACACCGTGCGCCGCTCGGGGTTCACACTGGCTCACGCGCCCTACCGCACTTCCACGCTGTTGCAGGGCCAGACGCTGCGCAAGGGCGCCACCATCGACTGCGCGAGGGACGAGGACGCTGGCCGCACGGGCATGTCGGACGACCAGTGGTGGCTGCACCTCTACGTCATGTTCTCCCGCGCCACGCGCATGCGGAACATGCTGGTCCTGCGGCCGCCCCCGCGCGACCTCCTGGAGCGAGGGCCGCCAGCGTCCTTGCGGAAGGCGCTCGAGGAGTTCGAAGAGAAAGCGAAGACCTCCAGGGATGAGGCCGAGCAGCTCGCCGCGGAGCTTGGCTTCGTGCCGCCTCCCGCCTGAGTGCCGCGGCGCGCAGCTTGAGGCCCGCGGGGTTGCCCCAACAGTCTGGCCCGCGGGGTTGTCCCGACGGCCTGCCCTCGCGCCCCAGCGGCCCGCGGGATTGCCCCAAAGGCATGGCCCGCGGGGTCGCCCCAAAGGCTTCGCGATCTAGCCGTCGGCGAACGCGCGCGCGCTGGCCGACGCGGCGACGGCGCCGAGGAAAATCGACTTGCTTGCCCCGACCAGGGGGAAGGGGAGGTGCGCATAGAGAAGCGGCAGGAGGAAGATGAGGAGGACGGAAGGGGTAGGGGGAGGGCGATGATGAGGAGGAGGTGGAGAAGGAGGAGGAGTTGAAGGAGGGGGAGGGCGAGAAATAGAAGAAGGAAGGAAAGAGGGCACAGGGGGGGGCGAGAGGAGGGTGTTTGCCATGGCCAGGAGGAAACTGACAAGGGCAAGCTAAACAAATGATCATGTGGGGTCCTTCCGTCAGAGAAATTACTGTGCGAATAAATTGAGGGAAGAGCAGCAGCAGGGGAAACGGCAGCGACGAGGAATCGGGTCTTGAAATGTGACCCGTGCTGGGGCGAAAGCGCCATTCCGAACGGCGGGAGCGATACACCGAGTCTGACCTGTATCCAGCGCTGCAGCGGGATCAGGACCGAGCACTTCCCCAATGGAAGCAGGCATCCTGTGGACAGAAATCCGCCGATCTCTTGGGGTCACGGCGTGCGAAATGCTTCCCCACCCCCAAACCCATCCCCCGGGAGCCCGTTCCGGCCGGCTTGGAGGGAGGAGGGGTGGGGCGGGGGGCAAATGCGTCAGCCGCGCCCTTGAAGCCTCAGCGGGCCCCAAAACGGACCAAGAGAGTCCCAAGAGGCCCTCCAGACGGTCCCAGAGGGCTACGAGTCGCCGAAAGGTCGCTCCCAGACACCCAAGATTGCCTCCAGGAGGCCCCAGAGGCCCCTGAGACGCCCCCAAGAAGCTACCAGGAGGCGTCCCAAGAGGCCCTACAGAAGCAAAAAAACATCAAATTCTCGAGGACAAACGTATATGTTTATCACGTTCGCCTCTTGGGCGTTAACGAGGCCCACAACCGCCCAAGAAGCCTTCGAAGATCGACCCCAGACAGCCCAAGAGGCCCCCAAGAGGGCTCCAAGACGGCCTAAGAGGGCCCCAAGAGGGCCCCAGAAACCACCACAACGGCCCAGGAGAGCCCCAAGACGGCCCCAAGAGGGCCCAAAAATGGGCCAAGAGGATCCCAAGAGGCCTCCTGGATGGTCCAAGAGGGCTACGACTCGTCGAGAGATCGCTCCAAGACGCTCAAGATTGCCTCCAGACGGGCCTAGAGACTCCCAAGAAGCTCAGGAGGCGTCGCAAGTGTCAGTGCAGTTGTTTTAGCTCGGACCGCGCGGCGGTCAAACTGCGGGTGCAGTCCCAGGGCCCTAGGACTAGGGCCAAAACAGCGGCGGGCAGCGCGCATGCCACAAACATGAAAGGCATGTACATCATGCGTACACGGTGGCACGGGCGGCAGAGGGGCAGGGGAACGCACTCTTCACACTGGGTGAGTACAATGCTGCCCCGACGCCGCCCCCTACAAGCGGGAAACGCTGCACGCAGTCATCGCCTATACCGGCCCACAGGCCGATACACCTCAAGCAAAGTGCGGCCTGAGGCTCAAAATATAAAATATAAAATATGAATGTCTAGACTCACTAGACCAGACTGTCATCTCAATGTATGTGCACACATCACCGTAGCCCTCACTAGGTCCATGCAGCGGCTGCAATCAGGACCTCACGGGCTCGCAGGCCCTGGAACGGCGGCCCGACGCTGGGCCTTCCGCTCCTTGGCTCTCTCACGCTGTCCGCGGCGCAGCCGCAGACGGTGTGCCTCCTCATCCTCTTGTTCAGCAGTAGGCACCATGCTGAACAGTCCGTGGCGGAGGAACTGCGATAGCACCTCGTTAGGCTGCACGGCCTTTGTCAGCACGTCCGCCAGCATGTGGCTATTGGGCAGCCACTTGAACTTGATGGCCTCCTGCTCGATCAAATCCTTG